GCTAAGTAATATTCCACAGTGCATATATCATTCATATATATACATACATATATCTATATCTATATGTATCTCACAATTTCTTTTTCTTTTTTTTTTTTTAGATAGACTCTCACTCTGTCACCAGGCTGGAGCATGATCTTGGCTTACTGCAATTTCAACCTCCCGGATTCAAGTTATTCTCCTGCCTCAGCCTCCCAAGTAGCTGGTACTACAGGCATGCACCACCACACCCAGCTAATTTCTGTATTTTCAGTAGAGACGGGATTTCAACATGTTGGCTAGGATGGTCTCAATCTCTTGACCTTGTGATCTGCCAGCCTTGGCCTCCCAAAGTGCTGGGATTACAGGTGTGTGCCACCACACCCAAGCTCCACAATTTCTTTATCCACTTGCTGATTGCTCAGCATTAGGGCTGGTTCCATATTTTTGCAATTACAAATTACGCTGCTACAAACATGTGTGCAAGTATCTTTTCTGTATAATCACTTCTTTTCCTCTAGGTAGATACCCAGTAGCAGGATTGCCAGATAGAATGGTAGTTCTAGTTTTAGTTCCCACTCTGTGGGTTGTCTGTTTACTCTGCTGATTGTTTCTTTTGCTGTGCAGAAGCTTTTTAGTTTAATTAAGTCTCATCCATATATCTTTTTGTTGCATTTGTTTTTGGGTTCTTGGTCATGAAGGCTTTGCCTAAGCCAATGGCTAGAAGGTTTTTTCTGATGTTATCTTCTAGAATGTTTATGATTTCAAGTCTTAGATTTAAGTTCTTAATCCATCCTGAGTTGATTTTTGTATAAGCTGAGAGATGAGGATCCAGTTTCATTCTCCTACATGTGACCAGCCAATTATTGGAGCACCATGTATTGAATAGGGTGTCCTTTCCCTACTTTATGCTTTTGTTTGCTTTGTCGAAGATCAGGCTGCAAGTTTTGGGGCTTACTTCTGGATTCTCTATTCTGTTCCATTGGTCTATGTACCTATTTTCATGCCAGCACCATGCTGAGGAACAGGGGTCTTTCTGATAGCCAAGGAGGTTCTAGTCCTGTCTCAGGTAGATAGAATTTGCTAATTGAAAGAGGTCCATTTTATCAAGTCCCACTTTCTCTTAAATGACAACCAGCCTCCTCCTAAATCTTTCCCACCTGCTCTAGGCCTGAATTCAGAGCTCCATTGTTCTTTCACAGAACTCCTTGGAGTGACAATCAAGTAAATTAAATCAATTAATCCAACATTTACAGAGAGTTGAGCATGTACTGCTTCTGGGGAAAGTGGAAACAGATCAGATGCAGACACTGTCAGTGGTCTCTTTTTTTTTCAAGAAGACAATTTTGAAGCTCCCTTTGGCTACCCTAGGGTAGCCAAAACTAGCAGAGGTTCATTCTCCAAGGTAGGGTGGTGCAGTGAGCACAGTATCAGCCATGGGGGCCACAACACTCTGTTTGAATCTAGCTCCATTAATTACATAATCCTGGGAAAAGTCACTTAGACTCCCTGAACCCTGTTTTCCCCCTCTGAATCTTTCAGAGAATAATCTCTAACTCACAGGATCAGTCTAGGGATTACATGAGATGATGTGTGTGTGAATGTCCTAGAGCAGCACCCAACACACAGTAAGTCCTCAATAAATGCTAGCTCTTCACCCCTACTAGAACTCCAGGTGTCCAGATGCCTGAGTTAGTGTTTCCTATGTCTCCCCTTTAAATCTCAGACTCAGAAGAGGTGAATTCCACCGTTTCTGTTTCCTACAACTTGGGCTGTGCTACCTTGTTCCATTTCTTTCTGGGTCCAAGTTTCATCACCTATTTAATGGAAGGACACAGGTTACACAATGGATAAGCCAAGGAGTTCTCAGCCTTCCCTGTGCCTACATTCCTCCCTGGACTGCAAGTCATGAAAGGCTTGACCACTGCATAAACTGAATTTGTGAAGTAAAGATTACCTCTTCCTCCGTTTTCTCCTAATCAAAGCAAGTGCCCCCTTTGGGTTTCTGAGCAGCATGAGATCACAGCCTTGATCACTGGGTTGAATTTGACACCTAACCCAAAGAACCTGATATTTCTTTGAACCTGTGTAGTGTAGGCACATGCATCTTGAAATATTAAAAATGGTTCAAGCACTATCACTTCTTCCCAGATTTCCGGGTCCTCACATTGAAAAGCACTGGACTAGCTGATTCTTATGAAGCCCTCTAGTTACCAACTCTGTCATTTAAGGTCCTAACCGGAATAACTAAGGAAGATCAGACCCAACCTGAAAAGGCATCTGTTAACATGAGACAGACTGTGGCTCATTATGGTAAGGGTTGAATATGTCAGGATGGAGGCATTTTATTTTGTTAGGCGACTGGGCCATTAACCAGTGTTGTAAATGTGTCTTCTAGAGGCAAGGCATTTGGCATCCCCCAGTGGTAGAAAGTCAGGTCCTTTTTGTTCAGTTGCTATACACCCACCGCCCTGTGGTGTCAAATCCAAAGGCAGTCACACTTACACATTCCTTCATGAGGCCAGCTGCTGGTTTAACCCATGGCCAGGCCTGGTCCTTATTCTCCAAGCAAAAGGGAAGATGCTTAGAGGCCCATGGGCTTGTGTGCCAAGTTGTTTTCCTGGAGCTCACTTCGGAGCATCCCCTCCTGACTCTGCAGCAGTGATCTGAGATCAGATGTCTTCAAAGAGCAGCCCTGGAGCCAGTCTACCTCTTCACTCCCTTTCTTATCATATGGGAAACTCACAGATGGGAAAACATCTGTGATTACCCGGTTCTCATTCCCCACAAGCATCTTCCATCTATGGTCCTGATTAGGGCTCTAGGTAGCTGGCTCGTTGCTAAGTCACACTTGCAAGGCACAGTTTTTCTGCCACTTCCTTAGATCTGCACTTAATTACAGCTGTTCCTTCCTGTTGTCCATTCTCCACTGTTTCAAACATCCAAGATACTAGTCATCTAATGTTCTTATCCTCTCATTAGAGTTGAACATTTTGCTCTTGTCTTACATCTATTCTGTCCCTTGCACAGCTCAAGTACTTGAGTTTTTGCCTCTGCTTTTATGCTGCATAATAAACAGCATTCTGCTTGGTATAACATTGAGAATAACTGATTTACTGCTTTCTATCAAAAGTATCTAAAGATCCATGAAGACTAACAATGCTCGTTACTACCGTTAGAAGACTGACTGTGCTTTTACCAGTTTTGATTTCTATTTTTCTTACTTACATTTATTAATTGTTATCTTGCTCAACTCTCATGATCACTGCCTTGCATTTCTCCCTTTCCAATTTAATTCTTGACCCATTATAGATATCTATAATTAAAATACCTCCCTGCCTGCCTGAGGCATTCCTTTTACTCTAAAAAATGGCCCTATTGGGCTGGGCACAGTGGTTCATGCCTGTAATCCCAGCACTTTGGGAGGCCGAGGCAGGTGGATCAACGAGGTCAGGAGTTCGAGGCCAGCGTGACCAACATGATGAAACCTCATCGCTACTAAAAATACAAAAAATAACCAGGCATGGTGGCATGTACCTGTAATCCCAGCTACTCAGGAGGCTGAGGCAGGAGAATCACTTGAACCCAGAAGGCAGAGGTTGCAGTGAGTCAAGATCACGCCACTGCACTCCACCCTGGGTGACAGAGCGAGACTCTGTCTCAAACCACAAAACACAAAACAAAAATGTCCCTATTGGTACAAAAATAAATATGTGACCCAACCACAAAGAATAAGATGTTTTCTGTTTATTTGCTATTGCTTCAGCTCAAGCTCCTGCTCTCCATGTGTCAAAGCAGGGGTCAGCAAGTATTTTTCATAAAGAGCTAAACAGTAAATACTTCTGGCTTTGCAACCATATTGTCTCTTTTGCAACTACTCAGTTCTGCTATGGCGGTGCAAAAGCAGCCACAGGCAATATGTATGTGAATGGGTGTGGCTATGTTTCAATACATTTAAGGTACAAAAACAAGCAGCAAACCAGATTTGGCCTGTAGGCCATAGTTTGCAATCTATGCTTATAAATGGACTGGGATAATACTCTGTCTTTCTCTCTAAGGGGCCTATTTTCCTAACAGCATTAATTACATAATCTATTATTTCCCAAAATGACTTAAACCCACCATGATCACATAGTATTTATAATAGAAACAAATCATTTTCATTATTTTATTTTCTGTTCTGTTTCAACTACATTTTATTTCACTAAGCACTAAATTGCTTACAGTGTGTTAAGTTACTTTATAATTCTTTGTAACTTTGCTGTGCAAATCTCCCTTCTATGAACCCTTACAAAACAACATTTGTTGCCGTTCTTACGCATGTCAGCTTCTATCGGAACTCTAAAATCACCTTTGCCAAGTTTTAAAAACATACATATGTAATCACTTGGGGAATAATTGACATATTTATATGAATACACGTCTCCATTCAGAAACATGGTATTTTTCCAAGTATTTAAGTCTTCTTTTATGTGTCTCTGTGTTAGTTTTCATGTGGTTCCTACATTTTTTTATTATCTTCATCCCAAGCTTTAAAAAATATTCTGTCCTGTTATGATTGGGTTTTTCTTTGTTCTCTATATCACAATTTAAAAACTGCACATAGAAAAAAAGCTGATAATTTTTTTTTTAAATGTATTTTGTATCTGGTCCCTGAAACCTCTTGCTAATGCCAATGGGTTCTTCTTTGATGCCTCCTGCACACTTTTTTTTAAAAGAAATTAATCACACTTGTTCAGAGGCCTATGTCCTTTGATTTTCAGAGCCAGAGTATTTTTTTTCCCATCAGTTTGAGGATTTTTCTCCACTGGTTCACCCTAGAGACACATTCTTCATTCATGGATTCTGCTCCCCACCACGCCCAGCCTAGATGCCTCCTCTACTTCACAAGCCCTCTCATCTGACCTGTCAACATGCCTTCTAGTTGATAAGGCTTGTACTAGCTTTACAGTGATTGGATGGGAAGAGAATAGACTGAGAAGTAGGTAGGGCTGCAGAAACTCACTGGGAAGCCTAGACCTCCCCAGAGAGTGTACACAAATTCACTCAGAATGGCCAAGGGAATATAACAAATGCATGTTCCACCCAGGTTGCCAGGATACTTGAGGAATCAAAGCTGGTGGTGGAGCTGTACAGCAAAGATGTTCAAGTGAAGGCCTCGGGAGATGGAGATGCTAAGAGTCCAATGCCAGATGATGGAGCAACAGCTTTGCTGCTTTTCAAGATAAGAGCAAAGAAGCTAAATCTCAGGTACCCTTTGGTCGGATATATCAAGATTAACTCAGCATTGTCAATGCCTTTTAGTTCATGTGGCTTGGCCCTGAGTATTTTGGTCTCATTCAGGAATCACAGTCTTTTTTTTTTTTTTTTTTTTTTTGAGATGGAGTCTCACTCTTGTTGCCCAGGCTAGAGTGTGATGGCATGACCTCGGCTCACTGCAACCTCCGCCTCCCAGGTTCAAGTGATTCTCCTACCTCAGCCTCCTGAGTAGCTGGCATCACAGGCATGCGTCACAACACCCAGCTAATTTTTTGTATTTTTAGTAGAGATGGGGTTTCATTACGTTGACCAGGCTGGTCTCAAACTCCTGACCTCAGGTGATCCACCTGCTTCGGCCTCCCATAGTGCTGGGATTACAGATGTGCGCCACCGTGCCCAGTCTTAAGAAATCACAGTCTTAAGAAAACTAAGCAGACGCCTCATAAAGAACTTTGTATTAGTTATGGTTCTCCAGAGAAACGGAACCAACAGAATATGTAAAGATACATACGAGGAGACTTACGGGAATTGGCTCATGCAGTTATGAAGGCCAGGAAGTCCCACAGTATGCTGTCTGCATGCTGGAGAACCAGGAAGGCCAGTGGTAGAATTTAGTTCAAGTCCTAAGGCCTGAGAACTAGAAGAGGTGATGGCTGATGGTATAACTCTCAATCTGAGCCCAAAGTCCTGAGGACAGAGGGTGAGAAGTTGGAAGTCTGGAAGTCTGATAGCCCAAGAACCAGAAGCTCCAATGCCCAGGCATAGGAGAAGAGTCCTAGCTCAAGAAAATAGAGGAAAACTGAACTCTTCTGCCTTTGTTCTGTTCTGGTACTCGAAGGATTGGATTGAGCTTGCCAACATTGGTAGATTTCTTTACTAAGTCTTCTGATTCAAATGCTAAGCTCATCCAGAAACACCCTCACAGGCTTACCCAGAAATAATGTTTTACCAGATATCTGGGCTTCCTTTAGCCCAGTCAACTTAACACACAAAACTAACCATCACAACCTTGTAGAAGTTTTCCTCAGAATGATTGCATGTCAGGATTGGGCTGCAGGCTGGCTTTAATCACTACCATCTTGAGAGATGGGTTCCTAAAATACAGCAAAGTTGAGATGGATCTGAAAAGACTGACCCTATGGCTGAGCAAATCTGGGTAGGACTAGATGGAAAACAGGCTAATTCTGGACCACCCATTATCAATCATGCATGTGTCTACATCTGTGTCAACAAACCCTTTCCAACCCACCAAATCAAACCAGGGGAGCAGAACTGGGGAGGCCTGCAGCACAATTACTGCTCACGACACTTTGTCACAACATGATTTTGGATCTGCTTATGCCCAGATAGTGTTTGTCTGGAGAGTAAAATGTAATGGTGACATTCCATCTTCCCTTTCCTAAGTATTCATTTTTTTTCTTTTATTTGTTCTCATTCATTCATTTGGCAAATACTTACCAAGCCTACCCTCTGACAGATACATTACTAGATACTGAAATAGTGATAGGAATAAGGCACTCTATCCTTGAAGCACACACCCTATTCACAAATGGTTTAAGGAAGCCAAGACAAACTTATTCACTCATGGTTTAAGGAAGCAAGTCTGAACACCCTGAAAAAGGAAAGAAACTAGGGAGGTACAACCAGAGTTTAATCAAGGGCTGTCGAACCTACCACATCTGCTCTCCCTCAGAATTCTCACACAAAGCTTCCCTAGGCACACTAAGACAGAATTGACTGGGGAGACGCCTCGTAATACCACCTGACATGTGCCTTGCACCCACCACAGGCATGGCACCTTGAAGCAGAGTAGCAGACCAGCCAGATGATCCTATCTCCCTCCCTTCCTGGAAGCCCCACCCATAAAGACTCATGACGGGGTCTTACTGCCTAGGAAGCAGTATGGTAGCTAAAGCCATCACTGGGGAAAAAAAATTCTGAAATCTCTAAGCACTGCTCATCAGCATAAAGCTTGGAGAGGTCTGATAAAGCTCAGAGCTTATCTCCAAGCTTGCTTGCTCCCCCTCTGCCCAGAGCAGCAGCTGGGCAACAGACTGACTTCTTGGCAAAGAAGCAAATTAAATTAAACTAGACCAGTTATACCAGCACCAACAACAGCAGAAGCATCTTACACAAAATTAAAATCTTGCAATGAAAACCAGGAAATCATCTTCTAAAAACCTAATCCCATTGCCCAGTTTAAAGGCACTCACCACTGAGACCTTCTGTGGCAACTTTACATGAACACTTGGGAGCAGGGAACGAGGAGAGACCTGGCAGCATCGTTTGGTAACCCAGGATCTGGGCCTTCTCTTTGTTGTTGTTTTATTCTTACAGAAGCACATATCTAATCACACACTTGACATATAAATAGGCCATTTCAGTGAATACAGTCATTGGAAACCTTTTCCAATAAGAGCATGTCATACTGGCTATGCAAGAGTGTATTTATAATCACACAGCATGGTACAGTGCAAAGAATGCCAAGTATTCCAGAAAATATGGTGGCTTGCACACCACTTCACAGAACCTCCATCTTCAAAGTTGACTGAAATGACCAAAATGAATTAAAATGAACAACAAAAATATCATTAATTCCGAAACTCAGAAAGCACCTCCACTTCATGCTGTAGGTTTTAAGTGTCACCTAGGCCAAAATGAAAGAAGAAAAATTTATGTTCATCCTCTCTTTCTTTCTTTCTTTTTTTTTTTTTGTTTGAGACAGTCTTACTCCTTTACCCAGCTGGAGCACAGTAGTACAATCTTAGCTCACTGCAACCTCTGCCATCCAGTTTAAAGGGATTCTTGTGCCTCAGTCTCTCAAGTAGTTGGGATTAGGAGTGCACCACCACACCCAGCTGATTTTTGTATTGTTAGCAGAGATAAGGTTTTGCCATGTTGGCCAGGTTCGTCTCAAACTCCTGACCTCAAGCAATCTGCCCACCTCAGCCTCGCAAAGTGCTGGGATTACAGGCATGAGCCACTGTACCCGGCCCATCCTCCCTCTCAAGATGGAAAAGTACTGTCGGCAAGAAAAAAAAATGTGGAATGAACAGAAAAGCTGAATGACATAGCTCTTAATTTGAAAAGAACAAATTGGAAAGGTGTGAATATTCTACCTGGAGCTCGTTTTTCCCCACTCTGAATTGGCTCCTTCCCTAAATCCCTTCCCAAGCCATTCCGGGAATCAACAGGAAGAAACTGGTTATCTCATATGAGGCCTCAAATGGATAAAGAGAAGGCAATGATTGGGTCTACAGAAACAAACAACAGAAGTCCATGAAACAGAAGGAACTCTCATTAAAGTAGCTGACTCATTTTGAAACAGGTGAGCAAACTGAAGCTTTAGAGGACCACCCACCCCAGGAAAAGGATCAACTGCCAACTCAACAGAACTAAACCTAGTGTCAGAATTTCAATAAATTTAGAGGCAGATTAGAGAAGAAGCCCCCAGAGGATTTTTTTCAAGTCCTCAGCAATTTTCTCTCTCATAAGGGAATAGTCAAACTGCACCCAAGTAAACTGGGACAATGGCAAAGGCAAATTCAGCATTACCATTTTGGATCAAATAACACTATCAGGTAACTGCCCCCTTGATATGGTAGTCAAGTAAAGGGGAAAAGTACAAGACTTAAAGGAAGATTGTGTGCCCCATAGCAGGTTTCATGTGCAAAGATATTTTTTTAAACACGCCCTGGAAGAAGAGATACTCCAGGAAACATAAATAGATCCCTGCTTTGTAATCCCAGGAAAATTAAAGAAAAAAGCTCTATAAAACAAGCAATTAAAGGATGAGCACACATGACGGCTTTCAAGACTGGGAGTGTATCAGCTCAAGACCAGGGGCGTACCAGCTCAAGACCGGGAGCATATCAGCTCAAGACCAGCTTCTGGACAACCCCCACTCCCAGCTTTCCCAAGGGTGTCCTCTGGACAACCCTGCAGGTACTGTCCTCTCATCAATATTAGATCTGCTGCAGTTCCTGAACATGTGATAGCAAGGTGTGTAAAAATGCATACCCTATTAGGGCTGGAAGGACCCTCATCAAGTCATCATCAATGACAGGACACGTATGTAATAAGTTGCAAAGCTACAGCTTAGACCTCAACTTGACCCTGTATGTATAAATAGGAAAGAAGAGGGCTGAAGATAGGAGGATGGGAGGGAAAAAAAGGAGGAAAAGAAAGAGGGAGAGAGAATGGAAGATGGAAGCAACAGCTGGGGTGCGATAGGAAGGGGCACTGGACTAGTCAACTCGATGTTTAACTTTTTGAAAAATTGCCAACTGTTTTCCACAGCAGCTGCACCATTTGGCATTCCCATCAGCAATGTACAAGGTTCTAATCTCTTAGCTCTAGCGTTTACTATATTGTGTGACTCTGCAAAAGTCATTTATCTGAACCTCACTTTCCTTTTCTTAAAGAATAGGGGTTAGAACTAGCTATCCTATTTCTGCCTATTCACATAGTCTTTTTTTCAATCCAAATCCCAACCTTCCACTGCCCACATCTGTTTCCAAGAGTTTTCTGACAGTGTGAAGTGCTGTAATGAGTAAGTCCTAGCTCTGCTCTTCCTTAGAGCTGGAATTATCTGAATCCATATCCCCAAGTTATATTAATGAGCTTCCATTTCCATCCCTATCTCTCAGTGTACATTTTTTCTCTCTTGTCTATTCTTTTAACCTTTTTGCAAGCATCATCTTGTTCTGTCTGTCGGCTGTCAGCTTTTCTCTCCAAGCTTCCACGGAGTTGCCAGATTCTTGGCTATTTCCCCACCCTCAGCTCATAACTACTTTTCCCTGGAGCTCAGTGACTGCTAAGTGGTCTTTGTGAAATCCTATTAGGATAATCTCCCTGTCTGTGTCTCCTCTCAGCTGGGCTGCCTCTAGAAACCTCTGCCGTCTTCCTTCTCACAGTTGGCAAATCATAGGCTGGCTCCTGAGTCATCCAACATTGTACTTATTCACAAACATGCTTACACACGCTCTGAACCTGTCGAGTCTTGTAGTCCACAAGCAACAGTTAAACTCACTGGAGATTCAACTCAGATGTCTTCTCCTGCAGAAAGTGTTTCCTGTTTATGTGGGACCCCTACTCCTTCTACAGTCCCAGCAATGAGACCTGCCCCCTTTTCACTTTTTCTGTTTCTGTTTGTTTATCATCTATCTATCTCATCAGGCTGTGAGATTTATGAGAGCAGGGAGCTGGAGTATCTTATCCAAAGCTGTATCTTCAATGCCTGTCATATTACAGGCCCTCAGTATTCAACATGTTTGTCAAATTCCTGAATTACCATGCACCTCTTCCATAGTCAATCATGGATCTGCCTACCTGTCTACGTATTAGACCCAAAGTTACTTTGGGGCAGCCTGGGATTTACTTGCCATGGTAACCCTTGTTAAAATTAAAATTACTCTGACACTTGTTAAAATAATAAGGAAGACATAATTCGAGATTATTTCAATGGAGGAGAGAAAATCAGGCAAATATAACAAAGACAGCTGGGGATTTAGAGCCAAGAAACAGAGTCAGTGGATGAGAAATTACCAAGAGGAGATAAGGGTAGGGAGATTCTTGCTCAACTAACCTACTAGGGTTCTTTTTTTTTTGAGACGGAGTTTCGCTCTTGTTACCCAGGCTGGAGTGCAATGGTGCGATCTCGGCTCACTATTCCTCCGCCTCCTGGGTTCAGGCAATTCACCTGCCTCAGCCTCCTGAGTAGCTGGGATTACAGGCACACGCCACCGTGCCCAGCTAATTTTTTGTATTTTTAGTAGGGACGGGGTTTCACCATGTTGACCAGGATGGTCTCGATCTGTTGACCTCGTGATCCACCCGCCTCGGCCTCCCAAAGTGCTGGGATTACAGGCTTGAGCCACCGCGCCTGGCCTCTTTTTATTGATTTTTAAAAGCTCTTTCCATATTATCAATAATTTTTTGTAAATATAATGCAACTATCTGAGCTCAGTTTGATATGAGTCTTTTCATCATGTTTATGGTACTTAGAGACACAGATATGAATATTTTTCTTTATGGCTTTACCTTGAATGGCATCATCAGGAAACTGACCTGCTCCCCAAAATTAAATATTTATTCTTTAAATGTCATCTATGTTTTCAAAATTTTACATTTAAATAAATATGCTTCATTTATCCAGAATATATTTTGGTTTACAGTACGAAGTAATGATAACCCTTCCCTGGTGAGTTGTCATTTCAATTTCATCTTGACCTATCTCATTAAGTAGAAATATGAGGTTTGTCTATAACATGTATACATGCATGCATTCGCACATACACACACCCCTCTCTTTTTTAAGGACATATTTTATTCTATTAATCTATTCATCTCTTCTTAGATTGGTATAAGCTATTTGAACTATTTTAGTTCCAGCATATATTTCTAAAACTTGGAAGTAGAAGCCTTTCTCCATCATTCTCTTTCAACATTTGCTTGATGATCTGTGCCCATTTATTTTTCCAGATAAACCTTAAAATTATTTTGTAATATTGCTTATACATTTCTATTGTAATATGCATTCAGTATTTTAAATTAAATTGACAAGCTTTAAAATACCAATGCTTCCCATCCAGAAATGAAATACCTCCATTCACTTGTTTTCCCAGTTTTGCTTTATAGATTCCTTCTACAGTTCCTGCATATTGTCTCTTAAGCTAATTCCTCAGCCTTTTATATTTTTGTTGCTTTTATAGAATGAATCCTCTTATATTACGTTTCCTAACTGGTTATTGGTATTTCAAAAATTGTTGATTTTTGTATATTTATTCCCTAACTAATCACCTTTATTAGACTCTTCTATTGGGCTCTAATAGTTTTTCACTTATTTCTCTTGGAGTTTTCACAGATAATAAAATCCTCTGCAAATAATAACTTTATTCCATAATTATATTTCCCATTCTGTCACTAGAAATCCCTAAATAAATATTAAATAATTTTAGTGGTCCTGAGCATCCTTATATTTTTTGGATATGGATTGTTAGTTTGGAATAGACAGGCTCTATCACATTAAGGAAATAGCTTTCTAGGCCTTTTCCGGGTGACGATTATTCTCTGCTCCTCCATCACTACCGTCATCCACCAGCCTACACATAGTGGTTACCCTGCTCTGTGCTCTGAGAGGCTGACCTCTGTGGTCTGTATCTCCCAGCCTTCCTTATTCTATGCTTCTAGCTGAGTTTGGCCAGTGGCAGGTACAGGCAGAAGACCAGTGGGTAGCTGTGTTCCTCCACAGCCTGTCAAGCAATCCCTTAAGACTTAGCACTGTTTCCATTTCCTACCATTGCCCTTCAGACCCACGGTGCTAATGGCTTCCCAAGTTGCCAGTCCCTGGGTACTTCAATATCCCTTGTTAATTCCCTTGATTCTGATCTAACCTCTATTTCATTAAACTCCATGTAAATCATTCATCTCTCACATGCCTCTTGTCCGGACATTCTCAAACCGACTGATAAATTAAGACCCACTGGTAGGTATTTTCAAACATCTTTTCAACATCTCAAAGTAATCAAAATATTTTCTCCTTTGTGACATTAACATGACAATCATTCATTCATTCAAGAAAAAAATTTTGAGTATCCACTATGTGTTGCTTGTTGTGCCAGACACTGAGATGAGAACACATAAAAACACAAACACAACACAAGACCACCCTCTTCCCTTATGTTCTCTTAGGGAAAACAGTTACACAAACATGTATATGAATAAAATACCTAAATATTATGATAAGGACTAGAAAGAATTTGGATAAAACAAAACAAAACAAAAAGCAGGCAGCACCACATTCAAAAAAGCTAGTCAGAGAATACTGCTCACAGAAGGTGACAATTGAGTTGGGTTGATACGCAAGCTCTTGCTGAGAAGAGGCTTCAGCAAGTGAAAAGCCTTGAGGCAGGAAAGAGCCTGCGGTTAGAAAATAGACCAGGGTACCATAAGCAAGGGGAAATGTGGCAGAGGATGTGAATGAACAGATAGGCAGGTGCTGGATCAGAACTGGCCAACAGAAATACAGTGAAGGCCACGTTTATAATTTTACATTTTCTACCTGCCATATTGCAAAAGGTTATACACACCACACACACACACACACCACACACACACACACACACACACACACACACACCCCACACAATAAAATACTATCTTTTCCACATATAAATGATTTAAAAATTAACAAGACATTTTTCCCTTTTTTGTGTACTAAGACTTTAAGATCTGGTGTGTATTTTGCATTTAGAGCGCACCTCAATTTGGACTGGCCATATTTCAAGGGCTGGAGCCCACTGTATTGAACCGCACAAGGCTAGAGGGTGCACATCAGGCCTGCCTGACAAGGCCTCCCCTGGTTGAGAGGGGCAAGACATCTGAGACTCATCTCTACGGCTCCCAGCACCATGCCTAGCACATGGTAGGTATTCAGCAAATGTCTGCCACACAGGATGGCAGAAGAACTGCAAAATAGATGGCAGCTTCCTGAAGCAGAGAGGCTGCACCAGGATCACGCTGGTAACTGCTCCAGGAAATTGGGTCTATTGTGTGTCCTCAAGCAAGAGAGGAAGCTGGGGGCTACCTGCTGAGTATCCCACTATAGGAGCTGTTCAGGGCCACCTCTCCCATCGCCAGGGTGCTTGGCAAAGCTGCTCCCTTAATTCAGAAAGATCACATCGCACCATATGCCAGAGAGTGGGAGGGAGGAAGCCCATTAGCATTCATTGTACACAGCTTTTCATTTGGAAAAGCACCTCGAATGTGCCGATCTGCATTGCTTTGCTTCATTTTTCAACATTCATGAGTGTAATTGCATTTATTTTTCTCGTCAAGACTGCAAAACAAGTGATAATTTACTACATTACAGCACATATCGGCTGGGTTTACAGCCACAACAGTTATAATCCACCCTCTAAGGGACTGGGTGGGTAAGCAGGGGTGGTCTTTTTTGCTGAGAGCAATACATTTCTTTATAACAGGAAGCCTGGGCCCAGCTGTTCTTCAAGGTTACAATAATAGTGGCAAACACTAACCCACACAGAGACACTAAGCTGTCGAAGCATGACCACTTCTACTATCTTGATGGCTTCCTACAGTAATGGGGTAAGGCAGATATGTACTCCCATTCACATTTCTCAGAGAAAGAGACTGAGAATCAGAGAGGTCCTCTGTAGTACATGCTAACAGGTTGGTGAACAGCAGAGCCAGGGTTCAAACCTAGATTCATGTGACAGGAAACTCTGTGCCCTGCTCATGATGCCACATGGCAGTGCCTGAGCTATAGCAAAGTGTGAGGTCTTGCAGTCACGCTGGTAGAAGAGGACATCATCTTAAAATTTTGTAAATCTGAATGAAATGCCTACAGCAGCTGTGACCACAAAGGAGATTTATTTTCTTGTGTCTACGCCACAGAATGCTGACTTCCAGCAGAGAATCAGGATAGAATACAACACCCCTGCTTGAGGTCCACCCAGGGGCTACTCTGTTTGTGACAATATAGAAATGAGAACAGGGAAGCATGGTCTATCCTTGCATTTGGAGATATTCTCTGCAGATGTTTTGATCCTCTTGAAAACAAGAGTCAAGCCACGGCGATGTTCAGACTTCAGATCACAAATGCTCATGAATTCATGAGTAGTAACTGATCAACAGGATCCAAATCTAAAAACGTATGGATTCATTAAAATCATTTCCTAAGTAAGATTAAAGTAGTGGGCATGTCAGTGGTAGCAAGCACCTCATTTCTTCCTGGGTTTTAGAGGGATATAAACTTCATCCCCTCACCTGATTCCCTGCCCCCTAATTATAACACATGGATCTTGAAAAGGATGGAACTGAATGCTGGTCTTTCTGTAAAGGATCTGAGGAAAGTGGGCAGAACACACAAAGCCTCAGATCTCAGCCATAGGATATTGCTACCAAATGACGTAACATCTCATTCCAGAGGAGACCCTAGGGTCCAGCCCCACCTCTCCAGCTTTCTTCAAGGCAGGAAAGAAATATTGGGGGTCCCTGCAGAGTCTGAAGAGGCAGAAGCTGACAGGTATCCAGGAAGTCCCTCCAGCTACTTGACCAGCATGCTATAAAGTGCAGGAGACCCTTTACCCCAGTTCCTGTCCCTGCTCTGCAAACTGAGGTCCCCTCTCCCAATCAGGCAATGGCTCTCCTATATCCACTCCTGACGCTGGCAATCAAGGCCCTTTGTGGGCCTTTCTGCCCCAGGCCAGAACTAAAATGACTAGGTCTGGCCACTCCAGGGCCTGCTGCTGAGTCTCAGTAAGCACACAATGCACAAGGGACCTCCAACAGCCACTCAATATAAGGGGCCTCAGGGTTCCAAAGGAGGCCAGTAGGGGATGATGAACATTACAGTCCATCTAGTGTTAAAACACATGGACTCTCTCTCACACACACACACACACACACACACACACGATAGACGAGGGGAGAGGGGAGAGGAAGAGAAGGAGGAGAGAAAGGAGAGGGAAGAGGGGAGAGGAGAGAGAGGAGAGGGATAGCAGGCTTAAGAAGTCCTCAGGGTTTTTCTTCCGTAGACAGGTTAACAAGGCACCTCCATGCTGAGGCCCAGCCCTGAGACAGGACAAGAAGGTGCTTGGTGGTGATGAAGGAAACCTACCATGGGCCCATGCACCAAACATTTTGTTCTGTGTTTTCTCAAATATTTGTCATTTAATCCCGATGTGTCCCAATTGCATGACCTTCATTTTGTAAGTCAGAGAAAGCCTTGAGCCATAGAGAAACTTTGCTCAATAGTTTTGCTCAAGGTTCCCCGTGTGAGTCCCTCTGGCTATAGTGTCCCTGAACCTTGAACGTGTGTATGCTTCTGGAATTTCTTTTCTGAAATTCAACTGTACAGAGAATCAAAGACCAAGGTTATCAAAGTTTTATTTCAAAGTTAGGAATGTGGTCTTTCCATTCAGGCAAAGAACCTTTTTGTTATTATTTTTCATATCGTGAAGTCTAAAACCTTAGCACAAAATCTAAAAACCAGGCTTGTAAAGGTGACTTTTGGTTAGAAATGGTCAAAATCAGATAATTGCTTCCTTCAGCATGGAGCGTTAAATGCAGGCCTTCTTCTAATTGTTGCTACCACCCAGAAAAGAAAAATAAGGCTTATTTTCCAGAAGCTGGAACTGTACTTGAGGTGGCCCTCTGGCCTGCGAGGCCCCATCTGCTCCATGCTGCTACCACCTTCACGTGCACTCAAGGCTCTCTTTGTTCCTGTACTGTGAAGTCTTTTCATGTGATTCCTGGTTGCAGTAATGAACAAACTTTGCCACAGCAGAACTGCTTTACAGAACCTGCGGGTTATTAGAGTTAGAAAACTGGGAGTATTACCTAATCAGGGCTCCTCATTGTGCAGGCAAGGCCGCTGAAGCCCAGAAAGACCAAGCAACTTGCTTCAGGCCATGCAGCAGGTCAGCAGCACAGCAGACCCAGATCTCCTGAGACCCACTGAGCACCGTGCTCTGAACCATGAGTGTATGTTTCAGCCATCTCAGATTTTCCGTTGCCTTTAAATCTGCTTCCAAATAGCGTAACACTTCACTCATCCCCTAACTCACTTATTCAGTATTCATGGAGGGCATTCTGGTGTCAGAGCCAGTTTTAGGAGCTGAGGACACGTAGCTGTGAATGGAAAAGTTGCTTCCTGCTCTGCTAGAGCTTATACTTAATTGAGGAAGATGGGTGCTAAATGCAAAACTATACAGAGCTCCTCTGTATTGAGCTTCCCCACTGCCTGACCTGGGGCCGGGGCTGGAAGAGGAAGGGGAATCTGAGACACAGTGGTCTCCAAGACAAAGGAAAGAGCATGGCAGTGATGATAAGAGGATGGCAAAGTACAACAGGTCGAGGAGGGAACTACAGGGATGCAGGCAGCAAAGAGGTGTCCCAGGGCACCAGTTCTCTGTAGGGGAAAGAAGGGAAGAGGCGGGTGCTCATGGCAGAACACAGGCTTATTCTTCCTCTAGGCATTCACTCTCTCCATCTCCTTTCAGGCTCCCATTCTTCTGCCCACACCCTGGATTGCGGAAATGTCCAGAGTTCTGCCCTCTACTGCCTGTTCTCTTTCTCCTGGGAAATCTTGACCCCTTTCCTAGCTTCCCAAACACCCAGTGGTTCTCAAGACCAATGTGCTAAAATCACCTGCTGTTTCTTGGACCCCATCCCAGTGCCACATGTGGGGATAGGACCCAGGAATCTACTTTTTAAAAACACCCTAGGTGATTCTGAGGCAGATGTTCCATCTTCGGCTCACTGAGAACCAAGATCTGATAAACATCAAACACTGGGCCAACACTTTCACTTGCTAAAAACTTAAAGTATAATAAAAAAGAAGGGCCGGGCGTGGTGGCTCAAGCCTGTAATCCCAGCACTTTGGGAGGCCGAGGCGGGTGGATCATGAGGTCAAGAGATCGAGACCATCCTGGTCAACATGGTGAAACTCCGTCTCTACTAAAAATACAAAAATTTAGCTGGGCACGGTGGCGCGTGCCTGTAATCCCAGCTACTCGGGAGGCTGAGGCAGGAGAATGCCTGAACCCAGGAGGCGGACGTTGCGGTGAGCCAAGATCGCGCCATTGCACTCCAGCCTGAGTAACAACAGTGAAACTCCATCTCAAAAATAAATAAAAAGAAAAAAGAAAGAAAGAAAAGGAAAAAAGGACCCAGCATTCTGGGCAGAGGTAGGGTCTCTGCATCTGCATCCTGGCCATTTTTAGCACACGTCTAAAGGTATGTGTGTAATATACAGATGAGAAAATGGAACCCACAGGACTTGGCTAGAGTCACAGAACTTCAAAGAATAGGACCCTGACTCCATACCCAAATCCAGTGTCTTCATTCATCTCTTTCACCCAGTTTTGTTGAGCTCACCAGTATCTCCAACCCCCTTCTCCTCCTCCCCATTTTTACAGCTAATATCCCCATTCATGCCTGCTCAGTTTCCTCCTGGTCCACTGCAACACGCTTCCTCCCCACCACAGGCTCCCTGCTGCTCCAAGTTGCCTTTCACACTGGCCAACAAGTGGTTATCCCAAAAGATACATCTGATCAAACATTCTGTGACTTAATCTCTTATCACCCAAGATCCTTCAAGTTGTAGCCCCAGCCTCCCTTCTCATCACATCTCATCCTATACCACATGACCAGTATGTATCCCTTCCTAGAATACATTATTCAAGAGTACTGGTTTCGGTATTTGCCTCTGCCACTTACTGTGTGATTCTAGACAAGTTACTTAATCTCGGCGAGCCTCATTTTTCTAAACTGTAAAATGGGCTATTACTAGTAGCTTCTTCAAAAGGCTGATGGGGGGAGTGGATGCAGCAAACCACCACAGTATGTGTATAACTAGTAACAAACCTGCACATTCTGCACACATAACCCAGAACTTAAAGTATTCAAAAAAAAAAGGCTGTTGTAAAGATTTTATAATGAAAGGTGACAATTATAAAGCACTCAGCACAGTGCCATGAAAACCACAGATGCTCCATAGCACTACTAATACTAATGTCATCACTGTCATCCCCACCGTGCAGGACTACTTGTTCTCATTCTCTGAACATACCACATACTTTGAGGTATCTGACTGGAGCAGACACCTCTGGGTGCTGGAAGCTCCTCATCAAAATTCTAAAGTGACTGCAAGGTAGGGTGGCCATAAAATATCCACTGTGGTACAAGGTACTTTGTATGTGAAATTCTAGTTAATTCCCCCAGAAAGTCCTACGAGACTCTTATCCCTTATCCTTATTTTACAGATAAGCATGAGACTCAGACAGGTTATCAGATCAGCTCCAGATCAGAATGCCAGTCACTGGTAGAACTGGCATTCCAACTAATATCAGCCTGATTTCAAAGTTCACATTTCTTCTGTTCATTTCCTCTATGTAAAAAGAACACAGATATTTTTTTTTAACACACTTAGGGTGCATTGTACTGAGAATTGTGTCTTGGTATCTTGCATCATTCCCACCTTCTGAAGCTCTCCCACATATCCCTAGGGCTGGAAGCCTATAAATTATATCTTACTTCCCAGCAGGGTTCCAACTCAGTCTTCACCAATAACGGAGGCAGAGACTGGGCGCTCACCAGACAATGAACCTATAGGCACCTTGATCTTGGACTTGGACTTCTCAGCATCCAGAACTATGAGACATAAATTTAAAAATGTATATATCACCCATTTTGTGGTATTTTGCTTTAGCCAAACAAATGGACAAAACAAATTAACACCGAGAAGTAGAGTGTTGCTTTAACAAATACCTAAAATATGGTAGTGGCTTTAGATCTGGGTAATGAATAGAAGCTGGAAGACTTCAGAGATTCATGCTGGAAACGGTCTAGATTATTGTGAACAGAGTATTAAGGGTGGTTCTGGCTAAGGTTCAAAAGAAGAAAGCTGGAGAGGAAGTCTCAATCTTCTTAGAGATTATCTAAGTATAGTCACGAACAGAATTATGGTAGAAATATGGATATTAAAGGCAATTCTGATGAGGTCTCTGACAGAAATGAGAAACAAGGTATTGGAAACTGGAGGAAAACTCATACTTCTAACAAGATAGCCAAGAACTTGGCTGAATCATGCCCATGTCTTAATGCTTTCTAAAAGGCAGGACTTGCAAGTGATAAACTGGGAAATTCGGTGAAAGAAATATCTAAGCAAAGTGTTGAGGGTGCTACATGGCTTCTCTTGACTGCTTATAGTAAAAGTGAAATAATAAAGAATTAAAGATAAATTTATAAGTAAAAGGAAGCAGAACTTA